AGTAAATAATTTACCAACAAATTTTCCAATAGATGATTTCTTTGAAAACTATATAAAAAATAAAATAATTAGCAATAAAAAAAGTTTATTGGTAAAATTTTTAAATAAAACTAGAAAATATTAAAAAAGATGCCAATGGAAAAATAATGTTGATAATTTTTTGAAAAAAAAATTATTAATTATTTTCCTACTAAAAAATTCCTTGTTAATTTTAAGAAAAGTACAAGTATCAATTAAAATATTTAATTTCTCCCTGAAATTTTCAAATTCCACCTTTGAAAATTCACATTCTCACATTTCATTTCCCTTTGTAAAATTTCAAAATCCATAACCTCATCTCACCATCTCCTCTTCCTCTCTATATTCAAGCCCTTTTTTGGTACAAATATCTCGTATCACAATAGATTACCTATGACCAATACTGCAACTATCTTGTGTTTGACACCAATCTCAACCCCTCAAAACACAACTATTCAAAATACTATACTAGTAAATCGACCTTTGCAATTATTTATAAACAAAAGTTTCCAAATGCATAATTTATTAAAAAAAAAAATGCAGCAGGCCTATGATGTGGATACATAGTTTACAAATTATTTTTTTTTCTCACAAAAGATGTGGGAATCCCAAAAGCATAAACTATATGAACTAACAAGATGAAACATACAACAATTGACAATGTATGGCTCAACTTGGTATATCAACGGGCTTCAATGCTGCTCAACGCAACTACTATCTAATAAGAAAAATGGTGATAAAATATACGAGCTTGTGACTCAAAGAGCAAGTGTGTATATATATATATATTCCATTTATGCCAATTTTTCTAAAAATTGGTATATAATAAAGGTATCCTTTTATAGTGCTATAAGCTAAATTCTGTAATATGAAAACTGATAAGCTGTAACTTACTAAAAATCACACCAAAATGGTACCCAAAATAATCTTATACACGTGACGATTGATATCGATATACATAACAAAGTTATTAAATTCTATAATGCTGAACTACTATAATTGTATAATTCTAAAATTCTAGTCTTATGTGCGCAGAGTTGTCCAAAGACTATATTATGGTCATATACTATGGAAACACATTTACATCAAGTGCAAAGTGGGTAGAATAAACCATATAGGGTCATATACTTAAGGATCTCAATGAGCTAAGTTGAAACTCGAGGCTTGAGTAAAATTATACGAGCTTTTTTTTCAGGCCGGAGCCGAGCCGAGCCGAGCTTTTGGTCGGCCAAAAAATTTATGCTTGACTCGAGCCTTTTCGAGCTGAGCTGGGCATGCTCTTTTTTTAAGTCAATTATTTCCTTTTAAAAGGTAGCATTTGCTGCCTTAAAAAGCAATCGAGTGTTGCATTTTGTCGCTTTTCCTTTTCTTAAGCCTCGTGAGCCTAATCCGATGAGTCACATGGTCTAGCTCGAGCTCGACCTGTCTTCCCAAAATGGGGCTCGATCTGAGCTTCGAGCCAGGCCGATTCGAGGATTTTTCGAATCGAGTCACAGGCTGCTCGAGCCGAAGAACCGAATTACCATCACTACATATACTATGAAAATACATTAACACAAGTGTAGACTAGGGTAAAATCACCTGGGTACTTTATGGTGGTTTTAAAAATAACTTTTCATAAGCTGAAATATGTAATGCGGATATAACATGTTATGAAAATGATTTAACTGTATTGAGTTTAACTTTAAAAAGAAGTGACTTTAAGATCCACTTATTTTGAAAATCATGCTATTAAACCAACTATATAAAATAATAAACTTTAATTTTAATGAATAATTATTTCTTAAAAATAAATTCCAGTTACATAATACTAGCTATAGCCTAGGATGGTCTGTTGGCTTTTCTAATCTCCTTATCACCCCTTCCTCCTTCTTCCTTTCTTTTTCTTTTCTTTCCTTTCTTCTTTTCCTTTTTTTTTCCCTTTTCTTTTTCTGTCTTTCTGCTTCTTTCTATTCGTTTTTATATGTATATCTGTGTCCAAATGAAAGGAAAAGGAATATTTGTTTAATAATTAATGGCACTAACTTATAATTGAAAAACGAGTCCTCCAACCTTCATATAAAACCACATTAAATTCTTATCTTTCACTACTATACAAGTAGATCCCCAAAATTAAATTTTATTCATCTTAAACCCTCAATATTTTTCATAATAAATTATGCCACAATAAAATAATTTATTTCATTTTAGTCCCTACTTGACTTTGACTTTTACAATTCAACTTTTGATTTTTGACTAGAAAATTTGGATTATAACAATCTTACCTCCTTTAAAGAATTTCGTCCTCGAAATTCAACTCGCAACTGACTTGGCATTGAATAGGTGAGGATATTGAGCACGCATCTAATCCTCATTCTCTCATATAGCCTCTTCTACTGCCTGATTCTTCCAAAGGACCTTTACAAGTGAAACTGTCTTATGTTGCTGAATTTGCACCTTTTTGTCTATAATTCTCACTGGCTCTTCTATATAAGTCAAAATTTCCTTCAAGTGAACTGGCTAAGACTCTAGAACATGAAAAGGATTTGTAATGTACTTACGGAGCATGGAGACATGAAAAGTATCATAGATCCTGGAAATTTAGTTGGCAAATCCAATCGACATGCAACTGGACCAATTCACTCAGTAATCTCATAGGGTCCAATGTATCGTGGACTTAACTTTCCTTACTAGCCAAACCTCAAAACCCTTTTCCAGGATGACGATTTTAGAAATACTTTATCTCCAACTGCGAGTTCAAGATCTTTCCTGAGCCGAGCTACATAACTTTTTATCTATCATGTGTTGCTTTCAACTTTTCTCTAACCAATTTCACATTTTTTGAAGTAATTTGAACCAATTCAGGCCTACTAAATTTCTCTTACTAGCTTCATCTCAACAACTTGGTGTTCTGCACTTTCTACCATATAAACTTTCTACAATTAAGTGACTTTAATGGGTAAAAACCTGGCAGTTTTTGGTCAAATGATCTACAATAATCCAAACTCCATCATGACCATTCTAAGTACGAAAAAGACCAAATAAAAAGTCCATATTAATGTACTCTCATTTCCAATCTAGATTAGGCAATGACTATAAAAGTCCTGTTGTTTTCTACGAACTGGATTAACTTGCTGAAATATAGGACATTTTAATACAAAATTTGCTATCTCTCTCTTCATACCAATCCACCAGTAATGATTTTTCAATGTGTGATACATTTTAATACTGCCTAGATGCATAGCATAAATAGAACTATTTGCCTCTTCCAAAATCTCTTTTTTCAACTCTAGAATATCTAGAATACATAATCTATTATCCATAGCCAACATACAATTATCTCTAATCACATAATCCGTTCGTAACCCAGCACTAACTTCTGCTTTCAGTATTCTCAATGTTAGGTCTTGAGATTGAGCTTCTCTAACCTTATCGATCAAATGAGGCCTCACCTAGAAATGAGCTAATACTGCCCTTGAAGTAGTAACTGGCAACTAAGTATGCAACTTTCTGAGCTCACAAATCAAAGATATATTTACTGCACTAGAGGAAAAGGAGAACTAATCTTTCTACTGAGAGCATTTGCAACTATATTAGCTTTCTCGGATGGTAGTCAATCTTACAATCATAATTCTTTATCAACTTCAGCCATCTTCTTTGCCTTAGATTCAGTTCCTACTAATTAAAGATATACTACAGAATTTTATGATTGGTAAATATTTGACACGTCTCACCATAAAGGTAGTGCCTCCAAATCTTTAATGCCAACACCACTGTAGCTAACTCCAAATCATGAGTTGGGTGGTTTAACTCATGCTTCTTCAATTGTCTAGAAGCATAAGCTATAACTTTTCCATTCTACATTAGAACACAGCACAATCCTTAGCATGAAATATCACTATAAATTACAAACTCTTCACCCAGAGATGGAAGAGTAAGTATAGTAACAGAAATTAACCTTTTCTTTAACTTTTGAAAACTCTTTTCACCTTCAGTCCACACAAAATTGGTGTTCTTTCAAGTTAAACTATTTATTAGAAGAGCAATTTTGGAAAAATCCTCTACGAATCATCGATAATAACCTGCTAGCCCAAGAAAACTTCATACTTCTGTAAGATTGGTAGGGCGTTTCCATTTCATTACGGCCTCAATTTTTTGAGGATCTGTATAAATGCCTTCTGCTTATATAACGTGACCCAGAAACACAACTCTATCAACCAAAACTCATATTTGTCGAACTTATCATGCAACTGCTTATCTCGCAAAGTATGCAAAATAATCCTCAAGTGCTTAGCATGTTCATCACTACTGTTAGAATAAACCAATATATCATCAATAAAAACAGTCACAAATTTGTCTAACTATGGTTGAAGCACCTTATTCATCAGATCCATAAATGTAGTTGGGGCATTAGTTAACTCAAATGGCATCATTAGAAACTCATATTGGCCATACCATGACATAAAAATAGTTTTTGCACATCAACCTCCCTAATTTTGAGCTGATGATAACCTAAATGGAAATCAATCTTTAAAAAAACTTTAGCACCTCGAAGTAGGTCAAACAAATCATTGGTAAATAGCCAATTTTACTTGGGATTTGTTCCTTCTTTCATAGGGTAAATCAAGCTCGCATCTTCTCAACTTATTGTTAGATATTTCATTGAACTGTAAGCAACAAAGAGAGAGTAAACCTCTTTTTACCGGACTCACAGCCTCTGCTCCATAAGCCATGGAGAAAAGAGTTTTTCCTTTTACAGTCGTACAATAGTCCATATAGCCTATAGAACTCGTGTTAGCTCATCAACCCATTTAGAGGCATCCAACTTCCTTTTAAGGGTGTACTTGATGGTTTTATCGGTAACTTCTACTATCCTTTGACCTGAGGATGGTGGGAAGTAAAGAATTACTTTTTGATTTCGAGTTCTTCATATAGGTCCCTGATTTTCTAGATTTTAAACTATCTTCCATTGCAAGATAAGATTGAGTGGGGAATGCTAAATCAAAAAAAAAAAAAAAAAACTATTTTCCCACAAGAACTTGGAAGTATTAGCCTCGATTATTTTAGCTAAGGGCTTTTCCTAGCCAATTTGACAAAGCTGACACTATCTTTTTCTTTAGGTAGGGGTCTTATGAGGTCAATTCTCCACTTAGGAAATGGCCAAGGGCTAGAGACTGTAGATGATAGTTAGCTTTTGGGAAGATTGCCTTTGTATTGTTGAAAAGTGCTAGCACTTATCATATCTTTTCACAAATTGTTGTGCTCCTTTTTTTCAAGATAGGCCAGTAGTATCCCTGTTTTAACACCTTTTATGTCAAAGCCATTCCTCCCGAATGGTTGCTAGAAGCCCTTTCATTAATTTATTGAAAAACATAAGTGGCATGCTCGCCTCTTAGGCATCAAATAAGAGGTAGAGAGAAACCTCTTTTATACAACACTTTATCTTGAAGGACGAAGTGAGTTGCCTTCCTACTAAGTTTCGCCGTTTCCTATTTGTCAAAGGGTAGGGTATGGTCCTTGAGGAATACTATGATTGATTGTTTCCATGGAAGAGTGCCCTTAACCCATATCACCATTTTACCTTAAGCAGTAGAGGGTCTAGAGAGCTGTTTTATAGGTACCACAGTAAGTAGCTTAGAATCTTTACCATTTGTCGACTTCGAAAGAGGATCATCATGAGCATTTTCCATGTGTATGATTCAGTCTAACTTAATTTTTTCAAAGGGTGGAACGAGGTCTATCACCAATTTTAGAAGTACGACAATGTTTTTATCTCCGTCGAAAAATTACCATTAGCTAGCTAACTACCAGTTTCTCCATGTCTAGGTAGCGGGTCTCTATTGCCAAAAGTGCTTTGCTCACTTAATAAATGAGCAGTTGATGATCACCTTCATCTCTTACAAGCACCAAACTGATGGCATCGATAGATACTGCCAAGTATAGTTGTAGGGGCTCATCAATTTTATGTTTGGAGGGGAGGTAGACATGTCCTAAGTGATTCTTCAGTCCTTGGAAGACTCTTTGCACTCTTTTATCTATAGAAACATCTTTATTCCCTTTACAACCTTAAAGAATAGAATGCACTTATTAGTTACCTTTGTGAAAAATTGGCTTAAGGCTACTACGAGTCCAGTGAGGCTTTATACTTCTTTAGGCTTTTGGGAGATCTCATTTCAATCAAAGTTTTAATCTGTTCAGGATTAGCCTCTATGCTCCTTTGATTGACCATGTAGCCTAAGACACTTTCGGAAGCGATACCAAACGCATACTTAAGGAGGTTTAACCTCTTTTTGTACGTCTTCAATATTCAAAAGGCGTTATCTAAATATTTTGCATGATTCTTTGTTTGAGGCTCTTCACCAGCATGTTATCTGCATAGACCTCTACTTTTTACCAATAAGGTAGGGACGTCTTATTGATGTGTTCTGATATGCGGCCCCGATATTTTTCAACCAAAAGAGCATACCTTGTAACAGTAGAGACCTCTGTTTGTTATGAAGGACCCATGCTCTTCATGAATCCGGTACATGTGGATCTAGTTGTAGCTTTAATAGGAATTCATGAAGTTCAAGAGTTCATCCCCCATGGTGGAATCAATAAATTGATTTATTCATGGAAGAAAAAAACTATCCTTAGGGCAAGCTGATTAAGATTGGAGAAATTAAGGCATCTTCTCCAGTTATCATTATGTTGCTTGACAAGGTCGGGGTTGGAGACTCACTTCGGATAAGTAGCATCTCTGATGTAGTGATTGTCAATCACCTTCTCCACTTCGTCCTTCGAGGTCTTATACCTTTCTAAGTTCAGGACCCTTCTCTTTTGTTGATGTGGAGAGACCTTAAGATCAATTTTTAGGTGATGACAATTAACTTTTGGGTCAATTCTAACAATGTCCTCATGCTTCTAAGCAAAGACATCCAAGTTCTCATATAAAAAGCACTTCAATTTCCCTTAGCATCTGTTGGTAGATCTTTTCTAGCTTGCACGGACTTAGAGGGATCTTGGGACCACTAGAAAACTTTCCAACTCCTTAATCGGGGCAATTTGAGGTTTGCATTCGATGATATGAACATCCAGTTCATCGAACTTAGCTACTTATCTAGCGGCTCTTCCTTTTTCAAGAACGTTAATAACTCCAAAGATAGTCTCTTTTTTCAAGAATGTTTAATATTTCAATGTCTTCTCATTGTTCAGGGATCTGTGCTTGGTCAAAGGAGCCGTCCATGTAAATATCTACCAAAATTACATTGATGTTTCCAGCATCTGCCTTTCTGAGGTAGTTCAAATAGCACTTCCTTGCCCTTATTTTGTTGTTTCTAACTGTGTGGTGATACCATTTTCAGTTGGCAACTTCATTCACAATAGGTGGTAGATGGATGTAATTACCCACAACTTTAAACCACAACTTCTTTAAGGTTGGACCCCATGGTAGGCGGATTGGTTATCTACTATAAAAAACTCCATAAAATGGTGAGCAGTCAATGGTGTTGCTCCCGTTTCCACTGCCATAGTGATTTTCCCTCTTGGGATGATGCTGCCACTAGTGAGGTCGTACAAGGAGGAGCTCTAAGGAGTTAACTCATGGTCCATCTCCATCTTATCAAAAGTTGCTCCAAATATGATATTGAATGAACTCACATTAGAAATTAGCATCCTTTTACAGCCATTTCGTACCACAACGACCCTTACCATTAGGGCATCACAATGAGGGTGGTACAGGCTAGTCGTATCATCTTGAATGAAAGTAATAGGCTATACCATTCTTTTGATATGGGGTCAGCTATTGTTGACTATGAAACTTGCCATAGGGGGTCTTTGGCCTCTCTCACATAATTCTCTTGTGCATTTCTGGTTTCTCTTCTAGCATACGGGTCTCTAAAACTTGTATCTATCTCTCGAATGGGTTCATAGCCTGTGTTGGCTAGAGGACCCATTTATTTCTTTTTCCCTTCCTAGGTTTTTTCTCATCGCTTTCTCACCTACGAAAAGCATCATCCCGATGGTGGTTGTCTCACCTCATCTTTCCTAGGTTGTCGATCCTACCTAGAAAGGGCACATCTCTTCGCGAATGTCTATTGTCCCTTTGATTATCATAATAGGAGTGCTAGGCGATATCCCTATAGTCAGCCAGGAGTGGTGGTATGTGCAGTAGAGTGATGCTTCATCTCTGTTTCTAGGTTTAGTGCTTCATCCTCTACCTTTTTCCCTTTAAGGAGTTCCCTGGCTAGACCTTCCTTGGTACATCGAAGCTGGGGTACAACTCTTCATAGGCTAAAACGGGTATTACATTTAGTGTGGCCACGGCCAGTGTTTGCCCTGAGTTGAGGGTGGTTGACTGCCCAAATAAGTGATCCATTAAATGCAAGGTGGGGACCTCTTTCTCGTTGTTTATAAAGAGGTGAAAGTTCTCGGCTAGAACTATTGCTGTAATTCAATAAGCAATCATAATTGGTTAGATCCTTGTTCTATACATCTCTCCAGAAAATAGGGCTCATGTACAATCCTCATCTCAAGGAAAACAATGTTTCTTTATCAGTAACCTGTACATAATAATTCATTTTGTTGATGAAATGGGATAAAAAGCTTTTTAATGATTCTCCTGACTACTGTTTCATGTCTTCGAGATGCTGTATAGGCCATTCACCTTTTTTGCTAATTACGAAGCTTAAGAAAAGCCTTCTTGAAATTTAGCGAGCTTCTAATACTTTCTTCGAGAATTCAAGTGTACCACACTTCAGCCACCCTACTAAGAATTAATTGAAAGGCTATACATTTTACTCCAAGAAAGGAGTCCCTTATGCTCATATGAGTTTTAAAGCCATAGAGGTGCTTTCCAAGGTCACCCCTTCCATCACACTTGGGGATTTTAGGTGGCAAGAAATGCCTTAGGATAGAGGCCTTTCTTAGTCTTTGAGAAGAAGGCAACTTGTTGTCGTCATCGTCAAGGTCGCAAGATCTTTATAGTTCATCGAAATCTTCATCCGCTCTGACCTGATGTCCAAGAGGTGGTTTGGATGGGCCTGCCTAATTTTTGGCTTGCTTTGCCCTCCTCTGATGTCTATTTTTAGGCGGAGGGTTTTATTGTCCTTGGATATTTTCATTGTCTCTTGAACTGAGGTAATCTCTACTGCTTATTCCTAGGTGCAGGCAAATGCTGAACTTACCTATTTCTAGGCTCTTGAGGTGACTAGGAATGCTCTTTAAGGTATGTTCTCAGATTCGTAGTTGGGAGGAACGTTGAATGGAGCCTCGTTGGGAAGGTTAGTGGCATAATTGGAGGAAGTGTCGACTCCAGTTCCCTATTTCAGGAAGCCTCATTCTTGGCATAATGCAAATAATAAGCCATTTAGCTTTAAATTTCTTCCTTCTCATGATAGTAGTTTCTTTTGTGGAACAAAGGGAAGGACATAGAAGAAAACATCTTCTTAGG